TTCTGTCACTGGCTCTGGATCCTGGAGCAGGGCTGCTTTCCTCCTTCCTGTCTTCTCTGAATCCTTCTTCCTCTCTCCTTTTGGCAGGATCGCTGCAGAGCAGAGCAGTAGGTTGGCAAAGTATAGAACGCTGCGGTAAAAGGGGGGTTTTGCTAGTGACCAGCTCTTCTAGAAGTAAGGGCCTTTTTGGAATTTGACTTTTCCTGGGCATGCTGCCTGTTTCATTTCACTTCATCACTCACTCCTTGTACAAAAAGATATCTGAGTTGAAGCTGCTTCTTTCCAACATCACTTACTGGGCTTTAAATCAGTCCTTGGGTGTCCTTGGCTACACCTGGGTTTGCATATTAGCAGTACATGTCCTATGAGACTGATGTGCCTTTGTGTGAGTTCCTTAATCATTTGAAGTCTGTAAGGTAATATGTGCACATATGAATATGCTGTCTTGGGTACCAAGCAGCTATCAGGTGATGAAATAAACCTAGTTTAAGCAGTATTGTTCCTGTAGTAAATTATTAGCAATGTTGGCTAGAGGAGAAGATGATGAAAATGGCTGATATCTGGGCTGTTCCCATCCTGCTGTTGGTACTCCCTATTCCCATCTGCAGTATTCTGGTTATTCAGCTGCCAGGCACTCTGACTGCTGAATTATGTCCTTGCTTGGGGTGGTGAGAGCTCTGTGTGCACCAGAGCCAGGTCAGCACCACCTCATTCAGCTGAGAACACAACCTAATCCAGGGTTCACCCTCCTATTAGACTGAATTGGTCGTGGTGGCTCAGTCAGTGGCAGCAGCCAGCCCCCTCTGTTCAATACAATCATCTGATAGGTCTCCATTATCATTTACCAATGCAGAGCCCTTCGTTTCCTGTCATTCTGAGCAGGTAAGACCCCAGTTTGCTATATCTGCAGTGGTGTAGGAGGCAGGACTGCCTGCCACTCTGCATGCTGCCCAATTCTGAATGTGTGTGTGTGTGGCTTCATTTCTCATTCAGTGCCTTATTTTATTCTGGGGAAAGGATAGAGCATCTGGGACAAGTTCTGGGATGAGACTGAAATCACTGTACAACATGCTGCACTGGTAGATCTCATGAGCATCTGCTTTCTCTCATGTTCATAGTGTTCCACAGACACAGGCAGTGTGTTGAGCAGAGTTCAGTTTTTGTGGTGCAAAACAAAACCAGCGTGGGTGGCTGTGTCACAGAAACATGCACTGTGGTATAAGCTCCTGTCTGCACATCAGATAGTTTTCATTAAACTATTCTCGATACTATCTGTGGAGATTTTGGCATCATGTCCCATAGAAAAACACCCTGCTACTATCTCTTCTCTCCCTGGAGTGTTTTGAGGTATTTGAGCACAGAACAAGCTGTGACGAGGAACGGGAGGTGTCTGTGGCTTGTTCTGGTAGATGAATGCTGGCTGCATCCCAGCCGTGTTTGCTGGTGCTGTTCTGGTCCCTGGGTGAAGCTTTTTACCATAGCTTTGGGCCAGTGGTTTTCAGCTTTTTAGTGGTCTGTTACCAAATGCCTTGGGGTGTGCTCTCCACAGCTTGTATGCTTTGTGTTTCTCAGCCTGGTATTTAAACTGTTTAATTTTTTCTGGGCTGTGAGTAATCCTGGAGGATCTTGCATATAACTTACTATCCACAAACTGTAAGTTAAGCTTTGCTGCCATGTGCAGTCACAAGCATTTTTCCTTATTGCTGGGTTTTCTGATGCCCTAGATCTCTCAGTTAAGAGTACTGTTACGAACTTCTAGGGCTGGACTGTCAAGTGCTCGGCATCCATATGCCTGTGCCTGGTATCTTGGAAGGTAAAAGGACCCCCAAAAGCTGGGTCTGCTGTGCCCACATCAGCATACTTCATCTTCATGGGGACACAAAGGTATTTTCTTTGTGTTTACATGACCAGCTGATTCCAAGTGGATAGATTGGCCCAGTTTAAAGTAGCTGAGTGGTTAAGGTACCTGCAGGCTTTGCATTCAGCCATGCTTTTTGTTCAGTTCTGTAATTTACAATGCTCGCTCATCCCTTTTGCACCAGAAATTAACCTTCATTTTGTCTGACTGTTTCCATCCTCCATGAATTCAGTTCTCTGTTCCACTGTAGTACTGGTTTTATCACTCTGATAAGCTTCCTTTGAGAATCTTATCCAGCAAGTTTCCTTTGAGAGAGAATGAGGGGTCTGGGGACACTTTGTGCAAGGAAGTGCTTTGTTTCCTGGAAGAGTTAATTTTTTTGGATTTTTCTTTCCAGGACACACTAGTACCAGAAGAATTGAAGAAATGGGGAAAAACAAAACAAATGCCTTCAGAACAGAAGTGAATAAATAACTGAAAGACCAGAAGAAGGAAGGCAGAAGCAGATTTTTTTTTTTTTATATATATATATATTAAAACAAAAGGGTACCAGTTGTACTTTTTAAAAAACATTATTTTCATCGTTGTGTTCATGCTACTTGAGTGCTTTTCATATGAGTCTGGAAAATCCTTTCTTCCCTGGGTCCTCCCCTCTTCTCCCAGGACATTTGAATTTCCTTTAGAAAAAAAGGAAGAAGAAATTACAATTCTGCCTTTCCCCAGATGTCCTCTCCTCATCCTAAAAGATTTGTGAATAAAGAGGAAAGAATGGTTCTGAATTTTGTTTTTTGGCTGTCTCAGAGGCTGTGATTGGAAGTTGGGCTCACATGAGAATGAAAAGAGCTTTTTCTGGTGGGTAATTTTGTGGATGAGTCATTGCTGTGTGAAGCTTCCTGTTCTTTCATGTCCTTTTGCAGAGGGACATGTTTATTGGGGGGGACTTCCCACTCCTGCCTGTCCCTTGTGTGACGCTGTCATCTGCATTTCTCCGCTAATGGCAGTTCTCTCTGTCTTCAGGATGGTGCCAGGCTGGGCTGTGCTGAGTTGCTGTGGGCCCTCGGGGCTCGGTCAGGATGAGTCCTTGGGGCCTGGCCCATGCGGGGAGCCAGCTGCAGTGCTGGTGTACCTGGCTGTGCCTGACCCTGCCAGGTTTGGTGTGTCCCCTGAGTGGGTTTACTTTTTCCAGCCTCTGGAAGTAACCTTTTCACTCCAAATGCAAGTTTGATTGAGGTTATTGCTGCTGTTCTATGAAACCAAATGCCAGGAATTTGCTGGTTGCCAGGTGGCTGTGTTTAAGTTACTTGAGCTCTAACTTCTCAATTAATTACTGTTCAGGACCACTAAGCAGTGTTGAGGCAGCAGTCTGGGGCTTTACTGAAGGATGTGCTGATAGTAATAACCAAAGGCCCAAATCTCCTCCCGATGAGCAACTTCCACATGGGAAACTTAACAGTTGTTCCCACCCCGAATATATATGTTGGCTCCTGTTTGTCCCGTGTCCGACTAGTTTCTTTAAAGGCCTTTTAGCAAAGGAACTTTACCAAATGTCTTTTGGAGATCCAGGAAAATTATATCAACCAGCAAGCATGTGGATAAAGGGTGTGGAGCTGAATTCTCCAAAGAACTTCACATGTGTGAGACATGACTCTACTTTATAAAAGCCATCTTGCTTATTCCCCACTACAGTTGTTCACACTTAGCTCACCGTTTCTGTTCTTTGTAATAGTTCCTGCCCATCTGTTCATTGTGAACATTATACTGGATGCCATAGAGATTTAATGAACTACTCCTTTGACCTCCTCTGCACTCCTTCAAAAACCTGGTCTCATGCTGCATTCCAGTCCTCTGGGACTAAAGGAGTTTTAAGCAAGAAATAGTTAAACTACTATTTGTAGTATTTTACCCTGGAATTCCTTTTCACCCTGGTGAGTTCTTCTTGAGCCTCATATTTTGTTACTGCTCACTTAATCAGCTTTGGTTTATAACTAATTTTTTCTACTGATGGTAGGACAGTACTGTGCCTGTACAGCTCTGGCCCATTACCCAAGGAGAGCACAGATGCAAAAAGAAAACTGTGGAGTGCTACTGTGATGTATCTTCTCTAAACTGTGTGTGTTACTATTGATTTTTTACCTCCTTGGCTATGCATTAGGAAAAGTGGGTTTTATTCTTTTGGCCTTTTATTCCTCAGGCGTTTTCTGGTTTGCTTTATTGGTTTTTATATTTAGTCTCCCAGAGTTTGAGCATTTGTTTCCTTATTTTGATGCAAACTGAACTTTCAAAGGAGTCTCTTTTATTCCAAATAGCTGTACTCACCCAGCTGTTTAATCGTGCAGACTTAAGTCTTTCCAAAGTGTTTTTGATAGGTCTTTTGATTTTATTGGCAATATCCAATCTAGTGTTTGCATATAGCCTTTATGCCACTTAACAGAATTTTTTTTTTTTTGCTACCATGTTTACTTACTACTTTAGGAAGCTGCTTTGTTACAATTCCTTTCCTTGGAGCAAGTAAGTCCTAATGTTAGTTGTTGCAGAACAGGTTTACAAACACATTTTGAACCAGGCCTACTCCAGTGTTTTTTTCTTTTGTGGGTTCTCTGTCCAGCCATGCTGTGAAGCAGAAGGATGGCTTATGTCTCACTCTGACAGCTCCCTGCCTGCGGAAGGGTGGCAGATTACCCATTAGTGCACTCACCACTGTCACAGCTTCACTCGTCTCCTTCAACATCCCCTTATTGCTTCCCATCCTGCTGAGCAGTAATATTTTCATAGTGCTGGTAGTGTAAAGCCTTAACAGGGAGAATGTAATCTGTAGGGATTTGATACAAGTATGAACTAATTTCCATGTATACTAAAGCCAACTCCTAAAATATGGTCACCTGAGGAAGAATGAGATGGTATCTACTGTAGACTACCATGGAATAGTTCAGGTGCAAGGAGGGATGATTTCAGAGGCCTTAATATATGTTTGCATGCCACCGTATTTCCAACCTCATATTGTGTTATTGGTGCTGGATCTGGTGCCTTTGTTAGCTCTGAGTTGTCCTTGGAGCACTTGACTGCTGTCTTTGAGCAACATCTTCCATTCTGGGCCCAGAAACAAGTATCTTAACGTCTCAACAGACAAAGAGCCATCTTGACCTGCTGTTGGACAGGTTTATTTAGAACAAGGTTTATTTCCTGCTAATGATGGGAAAGCAGACCCCATCCAGATGTTATTTACATTTCTGAAGACAATTATTACACAAACAGTAGGAGAATTGGGATGACAGGGAAGGAAGTAGCTGTATGAGATCACTGGGTTAATAAGTTACTTTTTTGAAAACATTTACAGTTGTAACTAGCAGGGGTGGAGTTCAGAGCCACTGAATGGCACATTGAATTAAAACATAGTGACAGCCCAATCTGATGCACAGAGATCTCCTTTAACTCTTGTGGAGCAGAGCTGGAGCTTCAGTTTGAACACCTCAAGGCTGAGCAGTAACTGTAGCTGAGCTTTTTGGAGTTCTGTTTTGCTGCCAGGGCTCTGTATCAAGGAGCTAGGCAGCAGCAGCCCACAGCAGTGTTTCTAATGGGTGGGAGATGTGTGGATTCATGTCTTGCCTCGCCCTGATGTGAGCTGCGTGTGTGGTTGTGCCATCAGCATCTATTTAGAGGAGGTTGTAATCAATTTACTAAGTTGCCTAAAGGTGCCTTTTGGTGGCCTTATGTTTATTAATCAGGCCCTCAGAGTGATGACTTGGCAGAAATTCTGTTATGCTTTGTGATTTCAAAGCCTTAATTAGTAGACAGTATGTGTGCAGGATTACAACTGTACTGATTGTTTTAGTCTCTGTATGTAAAGCAGCCTGAGGTTAAACCATGGAGGTTTTTTTTTCCTGATTGAGTACACAGACCAGTATTTAGAGAGGGGAGTTAAACTGTGAAGACTGAAGTAAATTAAGTAGCACATCAGAACGGTATTCCTTTGAACAGATCTGAGGAGTGTATGCATGAGTGTCCAGCTGCTCACATCCGGAATGTCTTCATTACTGTGAAGGTCTTACTGTACAGTTAGATCCATGAGCTCTGAATTATTCTAGACAGAAGCAGGAGGAAAAGAGAATTATGAGGAAACTTTGTGAGCACACACACAAGTCTTTTCATTCTTTGGAGGCTTTTCCTGGCTGACCTTATTTGTGGAAAGGTAATCAAGTCAAGTATGGCAAGAGAGATGCTGAAATGCCATGCGTTCCCAGCTGAATCCATAGGCACAATTTATGTAAAATTCTGATCTTCCCCCTTCCCCAGCCCCATTTTTGTTTAGTATGCACACAGGTCTCTCCACACCCCTTTATATTGTGCTGGCTAGGGTTGGACAGGCTTAATTTCTGTGGGACAGAGGAGTAAGATGAGATTGCTTCAAACAGGACAACTGACATTTGTGAGTGAAGGTATCCCCAACTGTCTGCTGGCTCTCAGTCCCCCAGGGCTGGCAGGATTTAGAGCGTAATTCCAAATTCCAGGTGACCACTTTCAGGAGTGAGGAGTACTGAAAGCAGTAAGACTTCCTCTCCTATTCAGTACAGGGAAAGCCTGAAATGTCCCAGGGATCTAGAGGCAGGTTCTGCTCCTGGGGGAAGACTTCAGTCTGCCTTTAGCCTAGCTTGGACACTTGGGCACACCATCTCAGATAGCTTTACAAGGCTGGTTTTGGTTGCTGCAAGCCTGTTCCCAGGCATCCACATGCAGCTTCACAACACTCGTGGTCTATCTGTTCAGGCTAACAGGACTTTAGGTGCTGGACAAAACTGATTGGGAGTTTTTTTCCCCTTAAATTGCAGCAAGTACGCTTTTTCACAGACAGCAGTGGGAGTTGGCTTCACTGAAGGTGAGCCTTCAAACCGCTTGAGCAGTGCAGAAGCAGCATGTTATGTACAGAACTGAGCAGGGAATGGTACTCACCAGGGCATGGAGAGATGAAAAAGGGAGAAGTATTTACATGAGCTTAGCCAGGGTGCTGGGAAAGCCTTCTAACCGACTGCTGTTGGTGTCCTGAGGCCTGTGAAAGGACAGTGATGGCATAATTGGGATTGAGAGAGAAATTCTTTTATTCCACTGCTGTTTTGCTGAATTATGGAGTTAAGCAGACAGCACCGTAATGTGCTACTGTGCGTGGTGTGGGCTGGCTCAGCACAGGCTGTTCCTTATCTGCACCCTGCTTGCCCACATAAGGGAAGGGCTGGGTTATGGGGTCAGGCAGGAGCTTTAATCTTTCCCTGAGTGTACCTGAAAGATGATACTTAATCCAGTGTCTTCACATCTGGAAGCCAGACAGCAATAAGGACCTTGTCTTATTCCTGTGGTGAGCAGATAATGAACTGATTCCCACCTACCTTTGATTCTGCAGAATGGCTCCCAGGAAGTCCCTTAGTACCATCTGTTGGTGGTAGCGGCTGTCCATCAGGATGCTGTCAGACTGGCGCCTTGTCAGAAATCCGTGCACCCCCTCGCCTGGGCTGCTCTCGCCGCTTCTGTTAAGCGAAGATGAGAAACATGTTTGTTTCGGAGGTGCTTTGGAGTTCCTTCCTCAAAGTTTGGGTCAGGCTGAGAAGCACAGCAAGGGAACCTGCTGGGTCTGAGCCTAGGGCCACTCTGCCTAAGTTCAGTAAGAAATTGGTCAGCTGTATTTGCTTCTGTTAGAAGAGCGATTGGAGCTGGCTTGCATCTGACTAGTCGGTCTTATTTAGTGGCAGTCACTGATCTATCTAACCAAAGCTACCTGAGTGGTAGTGGAGAGGCTGTTTTCTGTGTTCAAACTGCACCAGGCATGACTGTTTCCTACCAGTGAACGATCATTGCAGCTATTATTTGCCAATATTATTGCCTGTTGATATTATGGCAGAGCTCTCAACTGACCTGATGCATATAGCCTTGGAGGAAAGGATTAATTAGGCTGCTTAATGATAGTTGTGACTAGGGGAATCCGAGACATAGGGATGCAGGATGCCCTTTGGGATGTGGAGCAGCAGGAAAGATTGCTTCTGTTACAGTGAAAGGCAGCTATTTCTGCTACATGCATAAAAGAAAGAAATTGCCCAGTGTTATAAGCAACACATTAGCCCTAGGACAACAAAACACTGTGGCTTACCCGAGCCGCTTGCCAATGATGGTCTGTAAGAATTTGCGGGCGGAAATCTGCCCCAGGAATTTACGGTAGTTGTCAGTGAATATGGCATCGGCATGACGCTGCATCCTAGGGGCGAAAGACAAGCACGAGGTACACTCTTTGAGCTAGCAATGAACATTCTAGGTGAGAAATGGCTGTTTCGGATGACAAAATACACCAGATGTAACATTGCTGGTATCAGGGGCAGGTAACCATAGCAAACGCCTTTCGGTATTGGACTGTGTTAGTGATAGAGGGTGAAAGGATTTGAGGGAGCTCAGTCCCGACATGGAGGCAGCAGGCAAAATAAAATGTCTGTTAATTGGTATCCACACTAAAGCAAGTAAGGAGAAGTTCCTGCAAACCAAAAGTGAGGTCAGAGAACCAGTGGAAGGGAGGAGAACCACAGGCTGGGAGAGGGCAGAGCTGGGGCTGGGACATTGCTGTGCTCTGCAGCAGCACTGTCACCTCCTGGGAGGGCTGGGGCTGGGACAGGGTGACAGGAGCCTCCAGCAGGTCTCTCGGTCTGTGGGTAGACCCAGGCTCCTGAAAATCCATGGGTAAGGGAAGAACAACCCACTTGGCTGGTCCCACTGTTGTAAGGATGAATCCTCTGTGCTTCAGACAGAAACAACCATCCTCCATCTCTTAGCAGGAGTGGAAAGCAGAGGCTCTAACAGCTGTGCAGTTGGATTCCCAAAGCTCAGTGAAAAATCAGGTTCCCACGGGACTCTGACCCTGCCCCTGTCAGTATGTCCCCTGCTGCTGGGGGACAGCAGGACACGGCTCTGGACATGGGTGATGGTATAGTACCAACCTTCTGCTCCGGTTGCAGGGCTCAGCTGGGTTCTCCCCCTGGAGCCTGGACTTTGTGGTGCTGGTGGGACTGAGTGACCTGCTGGTCTGCTCCTGGGCTGGGGGAAGATCGTAACCAATGTACTCTTGCTGCAGCGGGGCTGAGAGGTGAGGTACAAACCTTTTCTCAGTGGGGTCTGTTAACAAACCCTCCTCTTCCTGTTTCTCTGCTGAGGGATTTTGGCTCTGTGATGGGCTGCTGTGCTGTAGCTGGAAGTTCATGGCCTTGCCAGCAACTGGCCCTGGACTGTACCTGCAAGACAAACCCAAAGCATACTGCAAGACATGCTCAGTTGCCACTTGGGGATCAATCTTCTTGACCACTTCTCTCTGTTGTCCAGCTTTTTCTTTATCCTTTTGCCATCCTCATCTCATCAGTAGCGCAAGCGTTGTCTGTCACTCTCCCCAGCCAGAAACTGCCCTGAAGCTATTTCAGCAGTGAAAAGATGGTTGATAGAGCTGCTTCAAATGCACTTCCCCCTCGTTGAGCTCCCACCGTCCTCGACCAAAATTCCAGCAATTCTGGTAGCATTAGGTCATGGCTTTGACACCAGTCTAAAACATTTTCTATGGGACACTGCAAATCCGCATCATAGAACCCAGTGCTCAGTTTTGGGTTTCCATCAATTTGTAGTAGTAGGAAGTAATATTACCACTTCTAACAGTTGACAAGGAAATACTTGAAATGTTAATAGGCAGCTGTTGAGTTCATGTACTAGAATATCTGCAGTTTGGACTTCAATGCAGGTGGCCTGCAGGCACAAATATTAACCAGTAATGGAGCTGGAGGTGCAGCCTGCTCTGGAGATTGCCCAATTTCCCTCTATATAACTCAGCATTCAACCTTAAAACTAAATGTTTGGGCTGAAATATTCTGTCAGGTGCCTGCCTTCTTTGGTAACCACCCCTAGGCTAGCAGTGTACCCAAAAAATTAAGCCAAGGCAAAGAAATAGGTTTACCAATGCTCATACAGTCCATCTGGCTTTCAGAAGTGCTGGCAACCTTAATTTGGCACATGCTTATTTTGTACAAGGTCAGAGATGAGGCAGGGAGTGACAGTGTGGATAAAACATTCAGGAGCTTACCTGAGAGCGGGGTAGAGAGGAGAGGAGATAGAGCATGCGACTAAATGCAGGAACAGGAGCAGGGTGACCTTATCCAGCATCTTCTACCCTTTGGAGTCACCTGAAAGGCAGAGCATTCTGAGTCAGTGGCAGTGAGATGCTCTGGGCCAGGAGGAGAGGCCACGTGCCACCTTTGTGTTCTCGGTCCCCCTGCTCATTTATTGGCAGAAAGGGACTGGAAAAATGCCTCCGTGTTTGTGGTTATGGTGTTTCCCAGTGCAGAGATGTCTTGATGTGGCAAAGTCTTCCCCAGGGAGTGCAATTTCTGGAGACAATGGCTGTGTGTGACCCCTCAGAGAGCTGGTGTCTCCCTTGGGTCGGGAGGCAGGGCTGATCAGTAGGGTTTCATGCTGTGTGACCCCCTTATTGACCCGTCCCGCTGCTGTGCCTGAAGGTAGAGCTCTCAGGCTGGGCTGAGCTCCAGGGACCACTGCACGGGCTGTAAAAGCACCTGGATGCTGGAGGGCAGCAGTTAGCAGGGGCTGCCAAAAGCAACCTCACTGCCTGCACAGGACCATCAGCGACCAGCCCCTGAGACCCCTCCGCTCTCCCAGGGACGTGTGTCTGCTCACACAGCTGCACGGCACAGGTCTGTGCGTAACAACTGACCGGGCTGCCTCACTGGCTGTCCAGAGATTGGAGAGAAACAGGGAAATCCAAATAAGATCCTGGGCAGAGCAGTAATACTGGCCTAGAGGTAACCCTGGCAAACTCATTTATCAAAGGCAACAGTGCTGAGCTTGGTTAGCCAGACAAAACACAGACTGTTCCTTCAGTCCTTGTGCTTGGGGAAAGGGGGGCGGCTGGACCGAAATATGTCTCTTTGGGAGAGCTGAACTGCTGCTGTGTCAAGAGGAGCCCCCCCCCCCCCCCCCCCCCAGCCGCTCAGCAAGGCGCCTACGCTGCTCTGAGCACAGGCTTTGGTGGAAGGTGAGATGGACCTGAGCCGTGTGTGTCTGCCCTCTGACAGACAGCCGGCGGCGGTGCTTCGCGTCCTGGGGCTGGCTGGTGCTGCGAATGACTCAGGACAGAGTCGTCTGAGGCTGCACACCTTCAGGAGCTGAATGCGATGCTTTTGTCATTGGAAGCGAGGGACAGTGGGAAGGTATTTCAGTGAATGCTCTTCCTGAGTTTTGATTGAAAGCGATTGATCTTTGGCTCAAAAAAGATTCTTTAAGAATGTGGATAGAAATCTTTAAAATATCAAGTTTCTCTGTTCCCTGTCTTATTTTACACAAAAAAAAAAAAAAAAAAAAAGAGCAGAAACATGTTTGATCTCCATAAGAGATAAAAAAAAAAAACCCTTCCAAATGTATAACAATACTTTCTTGCAAAAAGAGCAGTTTCCAGATGGAAAGGGTTTGGTTGGGCTTCTAATTACCTGAGCGACTTTTCCAAGCAGCGGGTTTTACTGACGGTGGTGGTAGGAGCAGGTGGTTTCTGATGGAAAACATCAGCAATGAGCTCTGTTTTACTGCTCGGATATAGCTGCCCACTCTCCTGGTTGTAGATCAGCATAGTAAGGGGAAGGCTAATTAAGGACTGGTGGTCTTGCAAGTGGGTCCGATCTTGATACCATAGAAGTTAATAACAGAATTAGTGGCAGCGTCAGAAGTGCACGGACAGACACAGGAAAAGATGGTGCACTAAGAAATGGGGTTTCTTATCCCAAATCCATTCTCAGCCCAGCCTGTTTCCAGCTGCTCATGTTCCCAGTTAGGGGACCAGCAGCTTCCCCATCTGTTCCCCTGGGAGCAGCACCGGCGCTGCTGGCTCCAGCAGAGCTTCTTGTGAAATGGGTGGCATCCCCTACCTCCAATACCTGGTCTCTTACAGAATTGCTCTGGCTCCTCAGAGAGCTGAGGAATGGTCAGAAGCACCAAAAAAGTGACTTTGAGAGATTTACAGGGCTTCTGGTTTTAAAGCAAATTTCCTGCTTGCCTTTTTTTTTTTTCTTTTTTCTTTCTTCTTTCTTTTTAATTCAAACTTGGAAAATCATGCCTCTTTTGTGCCTCTCCCCTAAATACCTCCAAGACCAATCCCAAATCAGATCTTTCTAGATAGAGGAAATGATCTAAATCATCTGTCAGGGTGTACCAGGAGACTGTGGCACCAGCATCTATAGAAAGTGCCAACCAGGAGATTTAATCAGTACCAGGAAAGTTGCTATGTGAGCTGAGAACTTAAGTATCCATGTAAACGAAAACCTAGCCTGATGTTGTCTGCTTCCCTTTTTTCTTCCTAGGATACAGCCCTGATTACCATTTTCTGTATCTGGTTTCTCTTCTTTGAATGCTGGGTTTTTCTCCAGAATCACTTTTTGTCCCTTTGAGATTTTTTTTGTGCTCTACTGTTAGTTTCTTTGCAGTATTTTTGGTTTGTTTCTGGCTTTGCCTTTCTTCCCCTGTCTTGCTTTGTCTTCTCTCCCTTAACTACTGTCTGCTTCTCATCCTAGCTTTTTGGGTATTTCTGTCTCCCTTTTTCTCACGGGAAGGAGTCTTAAATGAAAGTCCTACACCCCTTCCCAGAAGTGCCTGCTATTTCAGAGGAGAAGCTGAGGAACTGAAGTGTCACCCTGCATACAGGCAGCTTGACAGCTCTGCAAAACCTTGTCACCTTCAAAATTCTCTGGAGGTGAGGGACACCTTACTTTCCATTCTGGCAGCATGTGAAAAAATGATTAATAAATACATTCCCCTTAAGATGAAGAGCTTTTAGTGCCATTCCAGCAGACAAAGCGTAATAGCTTCATTCCATCCTGTGCAACACTAACAGCAGCATTGTGACAGTGATGTTGGAGAGATGGGGTAACTGTCTCTTACTGTTTCTGAAACCTTAACCTGATCAGTCTTAAAAATACCACTATGTAGATGAAACAAAGCTTTTACCATGCCTGCTGTTTATAAAGCTCAGACTTTTATATTATGAAATACTACATTTGAAAAGCAGAAATCCTTTTAAGTGCCTTACTCTGCCTTGTTGTAGCTGGCTTTGCGTTATCTGTAACACACTGTTGCATTTCTCCTCACACTTTGGTTTGTCTCAAACACAGTTTTACTGACAGGTGAGTAAAACAGCGTTCATTTTCCAAGTAAAAAGAACTTGCATCAGTATAGCAAAAGAGGAAAAGTGTGCTACAGCTAGTAAACATCCAATATGTTTTTACAAGACTCGTCTATTTTATTATTGTACTGATTTTCATTTAGCCTATAGTTCAATTACTGTTTCATTCTATAACTTGGTACAAAAAAATTTTGTATGGTGCAAAGGATATTGTACCTGGCAAAGCTAACTACTGATGCTAGCTTTGAATGCATTTCAGTGTAATTTATTTGTCTCCAATTTCTGAATAGACATTACCTTGTTAAATGCACATACAGAGACTCACACTTACCGTTCCCTTAGAAAACAAGCGCTTCCTAGATCAGCTCCTGCCCAGGTGTTTCCTTCCCCTGTTGCAAATACAACTTCTTCTTCTCTAGAGCTGTTTCTGTGAGCGCTGCTGGCTCCGTCCCCTCCGCACGGTGCCTGGGCAGGACCCGGGGTGCTGCTGAGGAGGGAGGACACTCTCGGATCTCCCCCCGGCTGTCCTCTGGCTGCCAGGGAGGTGCATCTCCTCTTTTTATACCTGTGCTCCCTCAGGAGTCCTGTGGGCTTCTACGCGTCAGAGAATCAATTATCCTCCTGAATTTCAAAGGCTGTGTTTAGCATCCTCTTTTTTTGTGTGTGTGCAAGGACGCAGGCAGGGAGGTTGCGGGGAGAGTGTTATGCCTGTAGTCGAGGGTCATTTGCATGCGTTATCGTTCAAAGAGTGGAGAGCAAATAACAACAATGATAATCTGGCAGAGTGAATGACAAATTTGCTTTGCAAGGTAAACTTTTCTTTCCCTTTGCAATTGCATTTTTTCCTCCTACTCCACAATGAGAGTGAGTTAACCATTAATACTTTCTCATACTGCCTGCTCAGGAGGGTTTATCTTTTTGCTATTTTCTTTTACTTTGATTATCAGCCTTTTCCTCCTTCTGCTTTGTTACTCACACCTGCTAGCGTTAGCTGGGCAGTTCATGCTTCAGTCCCTCGCAAACATCACAGCTTCACATCAAGCACACAAAGCAGCTGGAGGGCCCTGCTCCGTTCATGTGCTCTGGAACAAGGCAAGGGTCTTCCCTGGGGTGCTGCATGCGCTGGCAGCTGTTTTCATTCCTGGAACAAGGTTTATGAAAGCCCCATTAAAAAGAACACATAACTGTGGTGCCAAGAAGACCGGGACAGTTCAGAGGAGTTAAAAATGAGGTGCCAGCATGAGCTCCACCTGCCAGATTTTTCATATTGACTTTATAATGCCCAGAATTGATGAGGACCCAGCCCTTCCTGTCTCAGGGCTTGTGTGACTCGATGCTGGGAAGATGTTTCAGCAGTTGAGATGACTCATACCTGCCTGAGATACCTTCACCTTGCACCAGAGCTCTCATCACAGCTATCAGTGGCAGAGATGGGTTGTAGGGAAGGATGCTGCATCTGCTGTGCGCGTGGGTGCCTGTGTGTGCAGGGGGTCAAGAGCATTCTGTGCTGGTCTGACTCTGTCGTTGCCCTTTTGCTTCTTGATGAGGTAAGAGATCATCACTGTGATTATGGCTCACTTCTTAGTGAAGCAATATCCTCCTTCCAAACCATGGGCTCCCAGTAAGCAGTAACCCAACAGTTGGAAAGGCTCAAGTGAGCTCAGCATGTCAAATGACTCTGGTGTTTAACAACAGTCACTCTATACCCAAACAGATGTGCACCGATGCCTTTGGGCTCTCCCTGCTCTGAGCGTTCCAAGGGTTTGTGTTCTCTTTGGTATCACATCAGGACCAGGCCACTTCTCAAAGAAATCATGAGAAAGGATGAACGAACCAAAGCAGGAGCTTGAGCTGACCCTGAACTGAGCAGCTGACCAGGGCCCTTCCAATGGAATCCAGAAATAGAACAACAACACAAAGAGAAGCAAGAACTGCTGCCTTCGTCCAGTTGTAAAAGAAATGGCACCACCCGCCTGTTTATGGGGAGAAAATCTGCTGTGCAAATCAGGCAGGTATATCATTTGTATCATCTACTCATGAACACTGGAGAAGGGGATTTCTGAGTAGCACAGAGCAGGTTTTCCAAAATCCCTGTACTGGTGCACACAGCTGTATGCTGTCTCTGCAAACTGGAAAGGGATTTTTGTTTGCTTTTTTGAAACAATCTGTTTGTGTTCTCTCATGTGTGAGGCCAGTTGCACCAATTTTTCAGCATGACTTACTTTTCTTCCACTGTCTTAGTGCTACGCTGGCTGAACAGATGAATCAGACCATGTTGTTAAACCAGCTGAGAGCCAACACTATTTCAAGGTGTTATCCTATAGCGTGGTTTTGAACTAATTCACTGTCCGCCTGGCCCATTGCCCTACACAGAGCTGCTCTAAGATACCAGGCAGTATCTCAGATCAAGGAGAATTAGTCTGTAATTGACTTGTTTATAGCTGCCTGCTGCCCAGCTTGGATTAGGAGGGCTGTAATCCGCATTCATATCTCAAGCGAGCTTCTTTCAAACAAGGCTATATAAAGCTCCATCATCCTAGGGGTTTCCTTGCGCTGCCTGGGTTGGGTTCCTGTCATGTACAGCTGGACCCAGCAAAACTCACACAACAACAAGCCCTCTTTATTACTTCAGATTAATTGCGGGAGGCAGCAGAAATTTCTGAAACCCCTCCAAGCTCTGCCGGGTGTATCCAGCTTAGGAGTTCTGAAATAGCATCTATTTATGAGCAGGTTTTTTGTCCCCGGGATTTCCTTTCCCAGCTTTAGTCAAAACCTTCGTGTCTTCCCAGGACCCAGAACGGTCTTTTGTGGAGCTCCTCTGCCAGACTCCTTGAGCTCTCCCTCCGGCTAGCAAGGCTACTTCCCCTGCAGCAAACGTGGCTGTGATCCCCACTATTGCTGACAGTCAGCCCCGCCTTGAGTCCCACAATGGGTGCTCTGGCTGCTAACGTCTCTGGATGAAGATGCTACAGACTGTGAGAGGGTCCAGTGTTGTCTAGAAACAGTTTTGCATCCATCCATGTTGCAGTGCGTATTTGAGCTGGCAACTATTGTCTTTGTTCTCATGGTCATGCTTTTAGTAGGGTAGTCATGCAGGTAGAGCTGGTACCCCCTTCACACACAGGAGGGTGGCTCTGGCTGCAGTTCTGCGCTCACAACCTGAGAGCTGCTCTCTGCATATCAGTGGTGGTCAGTCTCAACATACTAGTTGTGTGACAGCATCCGTCATGGGCACTTCGTTTTAGGGGTAGTATCAGTAATAATTTGGCACAACAGATGACAAACTCGTTTTGCAGAATTAAAAGCTTTTTCTCTTTAGAAAATCTCTTGGTTTGTCCCTAGAACTTCCCCCGTTTCTCCCCACCTCTCCTCCCTACTGCAGCTGGCTCCCAGAACATGAGGAATGAAACACTCAAATTACCTCCCGCAGATCATCACTTCAAGTTAGCAACACGCAGTGGATAACTGTCCATTTGTCCCCTAAACCCAAGCCTACACCAGTGCAAGCCCGATGGAGTCTTCAGCCAGGTATGATCTGCCACAGATACCTTCTGCTGCGGGAATTGCTGGATTTTGGAGTCATATCCATGCAGACCTAACCTCCCTAGGGTCCTTGGATGAAGCACATGCCAGCTAGTTTCATTTCGGTGCCAATCCTTTGCTGACAAAGGACACAGTGTTAGGATCCGACAGCAATTTCCAAGATATTGATTTCCTCTTAGCTTTACCTCCTCCGGTCTCCATGCCATGCTTTAAAAAATTGCCTCTGTCTATTCCAGGTGCACAACATATAGCTTCAGATAAGCTGAGCAGCATGTGAAATGGTCCTGCTCACCTTGTGAGGTTGAAACTAATGACAGTAAGAAGTAACTCGTCAAATGGCAAAAAAATATCCCATATTCTCAGCTAGCAAAAGCTTTTCTGCACATCTCCAAAATGGCACAGACAGTAGCTGTTGGTCCCCAGCTTCTCCAGTCTCCACCACTCCTGAGAGCGCCCCACACAACTGTTCTCTCTGGTTTTCTTTTACTTGAGCGATGTGGTGGCGAATAACTAATCGCAAATGCCCTAATGGTAAATTAAACAGAACTGCCTAAGATTAGAAGTTATACTTTTTGCCTAGATTTGCTATCTTAGAGGTAAGGATGGGACACATTCTGGTTCAAATGTCTTATCCCAAGTGGCAGAACTGAGGCACACTATACGTAAGTTGATCATCAATCATTTAATTACATTGTCCATTACTGGTGCGTAGACAGTAACTTTAATTCCTAAATTCTTTGCAAAACTGCAATAATTTCTGTGGAAGGCAAGCAAACCAAAAATGAGATGAGAAAGACAAGATTTGGCCTCTGTTGCCAGTTTCTTCTAGGGAAGAAGCAGAGGACCCAAAACTTAAACCCAGCAGGTGCGGTGAGACTTGCCATTAGAAAATCATGTGTGACTTGCTTTCTCCACCTTGGAAGGATAAAGTGCTGGGATTTGGATCTTCAGATCCTCCAGACTCAATCCTTTGAACATCAATAGATTTCCTGGGGAGAATTTTCCCTTGAGGAATTCAGATTGGTAGGAAGCTGAATACAGACGTTTATCAAAATAACCTCAAGGAAGGAGTCCCTCTGGATGAGAGCACAGTTTGCACTATGAGAATGAGTCTGAAGCAAGGGATCAGATTAAAACCAGACAAAATAAATCAGTAATTCAAAATGTGCAAGAAGTGCTATCAGAAAGTACTGTCTCATAGTGTTAAAAGCCTGCTTGAAAAGCCTACTTAATCTTCAAACATTAACGTATCACTGAGACTACAATAGAGCAAATGGCACCAGCCTGTGAGATGTGTATCTGTCAGGAGGCCTGATGGGCTCTGCGGGTGAGATCCATTTATAGAGCCCGTACCTGTCTGGCTCTGTTTATTTCCTAGCATTTTTGCTGGAGCATTTCAGCATTGCCCAAGTGAACTGCCAAGAGTTTCAGCCAGATGTCAGCATGTTGCACTCAGCTGTAGGCTTGAGTTACTGGTTCCTGAATTTCTGGCTCTCTAAATACCATCCCTTCTTCCAGCCCCGGCAGACAGAGCTCAGATCCCAGCAGTGAATCTTGGTAATTAAGGAGTTCGTCTTTGGTCTTACCACTCTCGTTTCAGTTAGGAAAGGAGCTGTGGCTAGAAGGTTACATGGCACGTTGCAGCCGCAATCAGTGAACAGGGCTTCAGTCCTAACCCTGCCACTGGCTCGCAGTGACCAGGCTCACAAAGGTCCTTTGGCTACCGATTCTTGGGTGCCGCTGCCCAACTTGAGGACCCTACTCCTGATGTTTGGAAGCTCTGAGACCTTCATACTCTGGAATGGAAAGGCAGTGTAGGAAGGGGGTCTGTGAATGCCCACTCTGCACAGAGAGCTCTAGTGACTACCCCAGCACTACCCTTTCCCATCGACAGGCCGGGTGTTAGTCTACATATTTTCTGTGACTTGGTTTCTCATCAGAATCCAAATGTTGCTATTACTGCTCACCTTGGGAAAATGCTTTGAAAGCTTTTGATAGAATTTGAGTGAGGTGTGTTACTGATATTGAGAAAGTCAAACGTAGTTTGTGGAGAGGGAATGAGGAGGGCCACAGTGCCAGTAAGGACTGAAAAATTAAAGCAGTTGTTGCTATTTTTTTCATGACTGAATAATAATATGCAACCTGATGATGGTAAGACCTTGGTGCACAAAGATGTGGTAAACATTCAGTGAATGGTATTAAAATGTCTCACTGCAAAGACATGCAGGAAATACTGCAATGCAAACCAAAGAAGAAATGGAGAAAGAGCTAAAAAAGCTAAGGATGATTTGGAGAAAGACTTCATGCCTGGGCTCTGTCTACTTAGAATTGGGTGCTGACAGAATTGCCATTTCCGCTTGTTGAATCAATGGTAGCTTTGAAACACACTGACATCTCGTAGGCTTTGGAAAAATCTTTCCCTTTTTTATAAATAGCTTCCTTTTTTATCATTTCACAATCAGCTGAAACTAATGGGTCGGTGCGGTGCTGGTACGGCGGGCTAACGGCACCACCTGCTTGCGGTTCAAAGGCTGAGTGTCAGGGTGCGGAGCCCAGCACTGCTGGGCAAGCGTCCGGTGGGCTCAGGGCCGGGATAGCAGTAGGGGGAAGGAGCTGTATAAAAGCTGAAAATTTCACCTGCCTGTTTCTGCTTGTTCTAAGTCATACCATTTCTCTCGGGGGAGAGGAGGAGAATGGAAGAAAATGTACAGTATTGGTTGCGGTCTGTGTCTTTTCCCCTTCACCTGCAAACTTCAAACTGCGAGGATCAGAGCCCATGAGAAGGTGTGTGTGAACAGCAGCACCACCAAATCCAGTGTACTGGTAGTACTGGGAAGAATTTAATCTGGCCGTTTAATCCATACTGATAGGATCTCTCTTGACAGTCACAAGAATTATTTCTCTCTCCTCACTGTTTTTGTGCCCTAACTAGTGTTTGGGAGCTGAAAGGGCAGATCCTGAGCTCTGGGTTTATCCCTTAGCCGGTACGGCCACTCACCAGGGGCAGTGAAAGCTCTGGTAATTATTTAACAGTGTTTTTTTAATGATTTTTATGCTATAATAATTTATTTGTAGAAGTACCTCTGGCCTCTGCAACTTGCAGCCATGCACATTCTCCCATTGTCTGCGGTGTCTTCTGCACTAAAAAAGATTAAAGGTTTTTAATCCAATTGCTCAAAACCTTTGAAATTGTTTTCATTAATACCCATTTAATTCAAATGCTTGGCAACAGCCTAGAAAATCCTTTTATTACAAATGCCATGCCTTACTCCCTCAGCACATAAGTAATCGATTATGTTTTCCCCAAAGTATTTAGGCTTCCTGATAGTAAAGCTCTGCAGCAAAACTAACCTGGCACTACTGGTATTTTAGGGTTAGGAAAAGGGCAAAGCAAATCAGATTCTTTAAATACCACAAATGAGCAAAACAGACTACAAGCCATTTTTCCTTTTGTAGGTCATCTTATCAAAACATCTCCATTTCAGGTTGCATATTATTATTCAGTCATGAAAAAAATAGCAACAACTGCTTTAATTTTTCAGTCCTTACTGGAAATGTGGCCCTCCTCATTCCTCTCCACAAACTACGTTTGACTTTCTCAATATCAGTAACACATCTCACTCAAATTCTACCAACTGAATCGGGACATTAAAAATAAGAAAATATATATTAAAGACAAAACAAAACAAAAAACAACCCCAAAAAAAACAAACGAACAAACAAAAAAAAAAAAACACAACAAAAACAAAACAACCAGCAAGAGCAAAGCCAGAAGCACACATCTTAATTGTTGCTGCCAGAGCACTTCAAGGGAGCAGATCAAAAGCTCGTGCATAAAGAGAAACCTGCCAGGACTAAAAGGCCACACTATTGATGGCGGGGAATAAAATGCTCAAACTGATTTAGGGGGCGAGTGCGTTAACCCTGAGGTGTAGAGGTCCGGAGCACTTCGCTGCCAGAGCGGCCGACCCGGGCCCGGCTGTGGGGACTCATCGCGGGGGTCAGCACCCACGGCGGCAGCGTGACGCGGAGTGGCCTCAGGGGCCTTTCGGGAGGGCCCGCAGGCCGCCCTTAGCAACGCACCACACCAGGGCGGTTGCTAGGGGCGGGGCGGGGTCACTTCCTGCCCGGCCGGAATCCCTTCCGGGGCGGCGAGGCCGGGCCGAGAGGGGCGGTGAGCGGCGGGGAAGGGAAGGGAAGGGAAGGGGCTCTGTTGGGAGGCGGGGGCGGCAGGATCGCCCCGCTCCTCCCGGGAAGCGGGTGGGGGATCCCCGCCGGGTGCGTGGCGGCGGCCGCTGCAGCAGCGGGCAGGGCAGGGCAGGGCAGGGCGGAGCGGAGCGGCAGATAGCTGCGCTCCCGGGGCGGGCGGGGAGGGGGCAGGGGGGAAGCTTCGGATGTCGCGGGCCCGGCAGCCCGCAGGCTGCCCGGCCCTGCCGCGGGTCCTGTTCGCAGCGGTGCTAAGCGCACGTAGATCCCCCTGAAGCCAGCGCGAACTGGCCAGTCTCCATCCCGACACCTGCCAAGCCATTTCAGAAAACCAGCGCGAGGGTTTTTTGCCTCATCCTTTCACGGAAGCTTTTGTGTTCTGCACTGATACTGTCGCTCTTTATTTCCACCCCAAGAGGAAGCTAAATATACATTACTCGAAGTACTCCTGTGGCTTTGTCCTGTGCTAATTATTTATATAGTTCTAGGTCTTGAAGATGCCAACTGGGAGCACAGGACAGCAAAAAGAAAGGTTTGAGTCTGCCCTAGCTCTGTTGAGATGGCAAGCTTATGGCCCTGGTCCTGAAAACACATGGCTATTTGTTATAGCCATGTTATAGTATAACATATTATATTATAACATACTCTGTCCCAGGGGCATGGCCGTGTCATCTTCCAGTGGTGTCACCAAGCAAAAGTGTGAGCCCACAGCCCTGAGGAGCCTGTTGCTGGTTCTGTGGTGCAGCTCTGGCTTTGCGACAGGACTGAGTCCTTTTAGGGGGTGGGTCTCTAGCTTGCTGTAAAACCCTAATAAAGGCAAGACTGAATATTTTTAAACGGATAGTGAAAATCAGCTCCTTTATTTCAGTGCAACTGTTTGTGACCTATTTCTGCTGTTCTGTTCCAGTGAGGTGGCCAGGCTCATGGATAGAGCTGGTAGCTGCTGTTAGACCAAATGAGTAAGCTGGAGGGGTGAGGGGGAAGCTTCCTCTCAGGGTCTGAAATAGGAGTATGCAACCTATGAACAACTATCTTAAGTGTAGTCACGTTAACAGGTGAGGTGGTCTGAGGAAAAAGGTGGTTGATAACCAGTGGAGAAGAAGAGATATTAGCCAAGGAAGAGGTGGTGACACTTAGCTTCTTGGTAACAGGGAGGAAGACTCCACTATCCAGGACCTGTTGGATTAGCTGCAAGGCACGGTGTAAGGCGGTAGCGCTCTCAGTGAGAAAATTCACTTTGCAAGTTATGCATTCAGTGCAGAAGGCTGAGCCCTGGTTCCCCAGTGTTCCGCTTTGGCCTGCTCATTTGTGTAAGGCTTAGCCTCCTTGCCTGTGCAGGTTTGGGCATTGTGTTAGTCACAGGAGTTTTTTAAAACAGGAAGAATTTTGCTGATATTGGTTCAACTTCACTGATAGCAGGAAGACTAATGGTCTGAATGTGGGTTGCCTGCTGTGGCTACTATACAAGCAAGAACACTTTACTATGACTAGTTGGAGCATGATGTCAGGTCTCTGAGGATATTTCATGGGCTAGTGCTTAAAATGGTGGTGGCAGCTGCTACCAGCCTGCTTGAGAGCTCTTGTTGCTGGTCATGTCACCTGGGATTTGTTAGAAAATTACTAATACCCTCCAGGGAGGTAAAATAGAAAAGGGGGAAGGAGGGAGACTTGTGGAAGATGAGATTGGAGATTATTTTGTTTGCATTGTATTAGCTTATTTTTGTGGCTTATTTGTGTGTGTTGTGTTTCAGGCGTATGAATCAGGATTATCAGTAGGAGTTTGTCCTGGGAAAACTCCAGGTAAGGAATGAAGCAACATCCCTTCCTGCTCTGTTTAAGGAAGGGGGTGGGCAAGAATAACATTTTCTAAAGATACCCCAATAAATGAAGTTGAGATAAAACGCAACTCAGGGGTGAAGTCTCCCACGATTCTGTTTATTGCTTAGGAACTGCTGTCTTAGTGGATTGGGGGAGAGGGTGTTTTAAAAGTTAAAAGCCATTAGGGATGAGCCACTTCTATGCATGCTTTGTTGACACCGTTGTATGTCCAGTGCAGCCTTTGGATCTGTGCCGGGACTTGCTGAGCCTGGGTGGCCCAGTGTGTATTCTGGCTTCATGTACAGGTCCTATGCAGCCCTTGCTTATTGAATTTTAATCAGAACTGGAAAAATTTTCTTCCACTGAAATTCAGACCTGGAGGGGACTGCGAGAGGTCACCTTTCTTATCTCCTGATTCAAAGGCAGGATTATATATGCTCACACCCCATCCCAGGCGAATACTTATCTGATCTGCTCTTCTGAATCACCAGTAACAGCAATTCCATAGTCTCTGTATTCCAGTGGCTGGCAGTCCGTGCAGTTGGGAATTTTTCTTGTGTTTTAAAATTAAAAATCGTATCCCATACTTCAACTGAATAATTATAATGAATAACAAAATAATTATTTCTTATAATTTATATACCACTCCTTTTAGTATGTCCCCAAATGACATTTGCCTCTAACGCAACGACATTGAGTTGTTGACTGCTTCTCAATTTTATCAACTATAACTTTACTCAAATTATACTCTTAAGTTTACCATCTTTCTGAACACCTGCAGATTGTAGATATCTCCTCCTAGCATGAGAAATACAGAGCCTGCTTTGGAAATAATTTCTAGGATGCAGATTACTACCATTCATCTGAAAAGTGCATGCAGCACAATCTCACACCCAAGCTTTAGTAATACAGAGCATTGCAAGTATCAATAAGTAGTGCTGATTCAGTAGGTACACACCAGGATCATACTGAGTAAGATGGTAATCACGACTGAGTTCTGATGGCATCTCAGACTAATTGAATTTCCCTTTTGGGACTTTCTGTAGCGTACTCCAGCAATTGTGGCAGGAGAGTTCTCTGTTATTGTAGAAGGCCATTAGTCATTCATAGAATGAATTGACAACTCCATTAGCAAAAGATAAAGGAAGGAAGAAAGGATGGGCTCGTGGCTGAGGAACTAGCGTGGGACCCAGGAGATCAGTATTTAACTCTGCCACAAACTACCTGTGTGAGCGTCACAAGGTATGTGGGGCTTAGTGTAACCTGCCACTAAAGCCATGCTTCACTTGAAACACATAACTCCTGTGTCTTCAACAGATCTACATTGTGTGTGGTTTATTTAAGTAGTAGTTGGTTTTGTATACCATCTAAGACAACAAGGCTGTGACCACATATACAGTGTAAGTAAAAATGAGTAATAGTCACCTTGCATGCACGATCAACTTGAGGGAGAAGTATATTCTTGCTTGTTAAGCTTTTTACTTATTGTTGCACTAATATTGTTCATATTTTGTTTGTCTTGCCCTCACTTGCAAATGGACTAATACTAGCATTTGAGGACTATTTTCTTAAGCAGGTGTAAAAGACAGGCATCCAAAATAAAATGCAGCTTTCATCTCTCTCTTTGCTAATGGATCTGTGGATCAAGGGTGTCTTCAAAAAACCTGCATGAGGTAGTCTGTCATTTTTTGATAACGGAAGGTGAATACCAGAAAGCATGACGCAAGTAATTTATCTTTTTCCCCCACTTTGTAGTAACCAGTCTCCTTGAGAACATTAAAGGTGAAGAAGAGTTCACTCACGATGGCTGCTGAGTTGGATTTCTCCCCACCTGAAATCCCTGAGCCCACATTCATGGAGAATGTGCTACGCTACGGACTCTTCTTTGGAGCCATCTTCCAGCTTATCTGTGTGCTGGCCATAATCCTGCCGGTTTCAAAGTCCCATAAGACAGTAAGCAGTGCTCTTTAATAATGATACAGATGGGCAGAGTTGGAGAAAATAGGATGGGAGGGAACCTTAAGTAGCTAATGGAGACACAGTGGTCTGCCCCTGGGAGTGATGACAGTTTCATTGTTCATTCTCTTTCCTTCCCTCTAGCTTTCCCACCTCCAGCTTTTGTTTTATGATTTAAGAAAGTCAGGAGCAAATACCTGAGCCAGGGTCTCTCTGGATATCAGTGAAAAAAGTGACCTGAAGCTCTGGCAAGTTGTGCTAAATGTACATGCTGTTCCTGACTGCACACAAGAAGGCTTTAGCCCCAACCACATATTGTCATCCTGCTGCTGATTTGCTTTACTAATTGCTAGGCAGGGCATCCCCCTTTGCAGGACCTGCCTTTCAGGAAATGACTTTGGGCTCAAGTTTGTGTGCGATTTTTGGAAACAAGATACAGGTGAAATTCCTAGTATATTCTAACATGAGGGAGGTAGTTTTTCATTACTGACACACAATCCTGTGGAAGGATTGGCAAGTGGAAGGTCCTTTGATGCAACTGGTACAGGAGAAGGCTAAAGTGAAAGGTTGAGGTGAGCTACAGGACTCCAGTTCCTCTAGACTGGGCCACAGTGGGATGACCTGCATCTGCCTGGCTTTTCTGATAAAAGAGCTCCACGTGCTTAATAAAGCCTGAGGTGCTGGGGACAGATATTTCAGTGGTGGTGACAGGGCTGTAAATTTGGTGGTTGATGCAGATTTTGTGTAAACATACATGGTATATTTTCAGTAACAACTCAGCATGGGAAGTTTTGTTTTCAGGCTGTCTTTATTGACATGTTTGCTCCCTCTTGTGCAGAGGAAGCATGGAAATTTTCAGCATATCTGGGGAAGGGAATGCCTGAGGGTGAGGTACAGTGTGAAGGATGCAGTTCGTGACCCAACTTTTTCACCTTTAACTGCTGGTGTGATGTGAAGTTGTGTCGGTGTGCTGGATTAGTGACACTGCCCCAGCATGGGTGCGTGCTCCCTCCTGCTAGTCCTGTCACAGAAACTGCAGCAGGGAGATGAAGCAGGCAGCTGCTGGTCACGATGCAGTGGCATTGCAAGTCTTACACCGTTACTCTGCAGCCACCAGCACCTGGCTGTCAGGGTCCATGTTTTCCCCTGATAAATTTTTGAGAAATATGGAGTAGCCTGATTCTTGAAAGCTGAAAAGAAGGAGAGCTTTAGTTTGAAGTGGAAAACTGAAAACCAGGCCCCCAATTAAAATGATAAAGCTCAAGGACCTGTTACTGTTTAAGTCTGCAAGCATGCTTTGATGTGTACATGCTCTACTTCTTATTTTCTCCATATGTATACTGCCCTCTTGATTTACTGTCCATATAACTAATTTGGAAGACCGTAAACACCAGAGGCTACCCCTCCAGATCTTGGGAATGGTGCTTGAGTCTGGGTAGGCTATTGAGGAGCTTCTCTGTCTTGGAGGCTTCAGGCTTTGAAGTCTACCTTGGTTTGAACATTAGAAGGCAGCAGTGTTCGCTTTACAGCAGCAGCACACTGCATCCCCGAGTAATAACTGCATGTTGCTCCATTTCTCCAGAGCCTGCCAGCTCCCCGTGTGCCGATTACAGCCTTTGGAAAGCCAGCCAAGTCTCCTTCCTTGGAAAGCCACACAGATGTGAACTGTAATAGCCCAGTAACTTGAGAGATGTTTGAACCAAGCTCCTTGATTAAAAGGATACTGTCGGATGCTCGCCTCCCCCTCCATTATCTGGAGCGCTGTCTTGGAAGCTTGAAACTAGCACGTCTTGCTCAGCCATTTTTTGTGTGTCCTTTTACAGTTGGCACACTCTGACTGATAGAAACCAAGATGCTAAAGCAATATTTATACTCAAATGCATTTAATGAAAGGAGGCAATCTGCATGTGTGCGCTTTCTCAGATGAGACTGGCGCTGTTCCCTTGTGTTTTTACAAGATAATTAGACTTTATTTCCCATGGCTGAAATATTATCTGTCATCTTGCCTAAAGGAAACAAGCAGCATATCTAAGCATTCCTTGTTAGTCCAGGTGAAGGAAGCTTTGCCTGCAATTCCCTCCCTGAATTTTGGGCTTGGTTTAGAGTCTCTGAACTTTACATTTTTACTACTGTTTTGGGGAATATTTTTTGTCTTGCACATGATAATGATTAACATTTGGCATAAATACCTGCTGAATGTTTCCATGCACACTGGTAATTATACAGTATCTTCTCCTTTTCCTAATTTGAACATTTTTCATTTGGTGTTGATTTTCTTCTTGCCTTTAAAGTTGGTTTTGTTTTTCTTCTCCAGAGCCAGTTTAGACACTTAAGCTTTTAACGGCTTTTCTGGTAACAAGCTGTTTCTGTGCATAAACTCACACTCATCAAAAAGCACATGCAGAAGAAGCAGAGATGGTGCTTCTCAACTCTCATTAAATGTGGACTGAGTTTGATATAGATGTGTTCCAACAGAGATACCCAGCACTTACTTCCTTTGGCTTATACTCAAATTCCTAAAGTGTGCTGTCAGCAAATTGTAAAAAAAAAAAAGTTACTGACTGTTTTTTAATTGATTCTTGTAGGACTCGGACAGTTTCGAGCCTAAGAATTCAGAGACAGTGAAGAAGCCAAAGGCAACTGCTCCACAGATAAGCAAGAAACCCAAGAAGGAAACCAAAAAGAAACGATAAAGGCATGACCGATGAGCCTCAAAAGAAAAAATAATCACCTATAATCATGCTTCCTCGGAGATGACATCAAAGGCAACTAACTATAAAATGGTTTTCTGGCATTGCCATGCTTTAGCTTTCAGGGACAAGGGAGAAGGAACTTACAAGAGTGGAAGGGGTGGGGTTCTGCCATAGATTTCTTACAAGCAAAGAGGACTTCATTTGACATGATTAATGTGTCAGTCACCATTAAAGTAACTTCTGTCATTTCTGATGGGTAGAGAGGACTGTTGTCCTAGCTCCTCCATGCTGCCTCAGATTTGTAGTAAAGTCCCTGTGGAAGGTGGAGCATGGGTTTGCTACTTTGGATACCGGTTTGTGTTGTATTTTTTGAAAGCAGAGGGATCAAATGGATCAAGGATACCACACTACACAGCTTTGTATTCATCTCTGTTGTCATCTAGTCTGAAATACATAGATGCGTTTTATGGCTTAATAATAATGTCTCTGTCATATTCTTTAATTCTTTAGGCAATAACTCATCAGATTCCAGACTGCTGTAGATGAAAGCTTTCATTTCCCCAGCGTTGCTACCTCTTTCTTATTCCCCACCCATGCGCTTTTCCTTTCTGTTCCCACCCTTGAAAGCAGGTACATTTCAGAGAATCAAGGCTGTGGTGGGGACTGCAATGACTACAAGAATCAGGAAACAATTTGATTGTGGAAGGTGCAGAATTTAATGCCTGTGATAACAGGGTGTTCTTGGAAACTTGAGAAGACCAGGTACTGCATCTTGGAGAGAAGCTGCTCTGAGGAGGGAGTCTTGGAGTGCTGCATTGGTCACGTATCAAACAGCACTGTCTCACTGTAGTGTTGATAAACCCTCCTGTCAGCTAGCTGAGTCCTAACCATGTGCTCCATTTCGACACAGCTGGGGTTTGTTGCATTTGCAAACTCCCTCCCAGCCTCACCTGCTATAGTCTTGCTGCATCTCCTCTTGCTGAATTCTTCCTGAAGTTGAATATGAGCTCAGCCTGAGGAGCTGTGGTATTTTAAGATCCAAGGGGTGGCAAGCTGTGTAGCATGACTATATGGCAAGAGACATATACACTGTGTTCCTTCAGGCTCTGGCTCTCCAGGCCCAGGGACAATCTAGTATTAGATTTAAATATGGCTAGACAGGACTGGAAAGAGATAGGTGGTGACATAGCCACAGAGCCTCTGTAGGGCAGCCTGAGCTTCCTGATGCCAGCTCACATCTTGGTTTGTTTGATCACAAGTGAGTCAATGGGAGGAGAACCTGCTCTTTTAGGCGCACCCAGGGTTCAGAGCAGCTTTGAAGGAAAGGGTTCTCTGGCAGGCCTGCAAGTCTGCGATCCCTTTTGCATACGTAGGCTCCCATCCTCAATTCACGAATGCCTTGTGAGCCCAGATGCAGTAGCAGTGCTGTGCTGCACTGAGTGTGCTCTAACAAGAGTTGAACAGCATGTTTGCAGGAACCACCCATGTTAAGAACAGCCATGTTCTCTGCTCGCTCTTGCCTTTGCTGGGTGAGACAGGTGGATCCCAGTACCAGTTTGATTCTAACCTCTCGCTGTTTCCCTGCTCCAGGCTCTCTGCTTCTCTTAACCAGAATGCTGACACCAAGTTGCACTGTGTAAAATCCAGCTTCAAGTTCTGCTTTAAATTCAGCATTTTATTTTTCTTCTTTTTATTTTTTTGAGCCTACATAAAGGCAATAACAGGAGGACAGAACAAAGCATGGGAGACACAAGCACTCTGAAGTTGCTTTGAGTTCTCAGTACAAAGAAACATTACAAAAATTTCCCACGCAAATAACAAAGAACAATATTGTGCTGTGAGTTTCCATTACGGACCTGTGTTCCTGCCTGTGATCTGCAGGGGAGAGAAAAGCATTGCCACTGCCCTGGATAGGTACTGCAGATCACTTCTTCCATTTTAATAAATGAGGATGGCGGCTGTTTTATCTAACAGCTCTGGGTTTCCTTACGTTACCTAAAGGGGGAGGCCGGGGGGTGTTAATGCTTTAATGAAATTGCAACTGTTGAAAGAGGAGCACACAGTTTACCTGAAGTACAGCAGCATCTTCAACAGCCAAGAACCAGTTAGTGAGGAGCACTGTGGTTTTTACCTGAAATAGCAGGCTACTACATCAACATCTACCTACTTGCAGGCTGGCTTACTCATTGCTAGGTAGAAATCATGGATATTGGGGTTTGGTTTTGTTGGGGAAAGAGGGATTAAGATAAATTTTCCAGTGTGTTCCTAACAGCTTGATACCTATTTCAGTGCTCTTAGCCGAATTTATCGTATGGTTTTAGAGATTACCAATATCCCATGTATTTTAGTTTCTCTTGAAATGTATAATAAATACAATCAGAATCTCTTTGTTTAAAAAGAAACTTGTTTTTAAAATTGTGCTGCTTCTTTCCATGCATTCATTGTGAAAGCTGCCAGAACTCTCACACTATAGGAACACGGGGATATAACTAACCTATTCATAAAAATGATCCATTAAGAGAAAGCCTTTCAGATCCTTTAATCTGTGAGAAATTGGTTAGTTAATACTGTCAGGCATGTGTGCATCTGTATCTGTGTTTGACTTGGAAGTAGCAAACTATCTCCCAGTACAGCTTCATCTTCCTGGAAGGAAGGAGGAAATGGTGTGATGACTAAATTAATTTGCCTCTCATGAGAGATTTTGGGTCCAAGAGCCCCCATGAAGGTAGCAGTAATAAAGGCATCATTTGTTAATAATATAAGCAGGAGATTAGTTGGGGATTCAGCAGACTGGTAATTGGGATTTTCAGTAGCCCCTCGGTGTGTGATTGTAGCTCAGGTTTACATGGCTGGAGCATGGAGCTGTCTTCATGCCTCCTCTTGGCTGCAGTAAGACTGGCATGGTAGCCAAACTCTGGCAAGCCTCTGTTGGTTCCATCACCAGAAAACCAAAACTAGAGAAGGACCAGTGTGGTGACTCCTTTAATTCCCCAGCACTTTCCTCCAGGCTGTTTTGTAATTAACATCCCAAAGAGAGCTGAAGACCTCATTAAGTCACTTCTGTTGAAGAGTTGGTTTTCAAAGATCTGCCTCCAGATCCCAGCCAGCAGGCAGCACCTGCGTGAACAGCACCTTGCTCTGCCACCCAAAGCCCAGGAGCTGGGCTGAGAGCTGGGTTTCCCCTGCTAATGTATGTCACAAAGTTCTGTCCCTCAACAGGCCAAGCCTCAGCCCTGAAGAAGCATGGCTGGGAGTTGAGAACTCCTTGCTTCGTTTTTGATCATGTTCAAGCAGCTCTGCCTCTCTGGTCATGCTCACCTCAAGAGCTGTGGCCATCACTGTCCCCTTGAGCTGTCCCACGCTCACAATGCATCCTTGTGCTCCTCCAGCACAAGCAGCACAATCCCTTGAGACGGGCTAGTAAGTAACTCGTGACTGGAGTTCCAGTTCACATAGTTCAATTAAATCCCTGTTAATCTTGTTCAGACCTAATTTACTTTCATTCTCATACACACACTTTCTGCTTCAGAGAGATTCTGGTGAGGTTCCCTACTGACAGGGACTGAAGAGCCTGAGGCCATCTTTGAAGAGGACTGATATCTGCAGAGCAGCCCCCTTGTTGAGTCAATAAACTAAGATTATTTCCCGGCCTCTCATGAAGAATGTGAAAATATTCCTTCAGTGCCTGGATTTCAGGGAGGGTCAAGGCTGGATCTGATGGTGCTCGAGGAGAAAACCAGGAAGCTGTAGGAGAGGAGGACCTGCTCAGTATCTCTTGTTTCCCAGGACACTGCTGAACTATTCCCCTCTCTGTGTGTGTTAATTTTTAGGCAGCTGATTCTTGGGGTGCTGGACTTCTCTCTTGGGAGCCTCTCTTACACGCTGATACTTCTTTCAGGCAGAAGTTATGTTGTTCACAGCCTGTGGCCTGCAGGGATTGAGATGACTGGATTGATTTAGTTGTTTGTTTATTAATCTCATGAGGCATCAGAGACTGACTGCAGCAAGAAAATGGGATGACGAATAGAGACTGCTGGAGTACAGAGCATGGTTGCTTGTTTAGTGATTAGGTTGATTGCCAGCTTTGGCACTGGGAAGGGATCTGACCCTCCTCTTCTTCATCCAACCAGAAGGGATAATTCAGTTGGGGACCATTCCCTTCCTCTCTGGCAAGACATGGGCTGTAATCAATGTTTGCATTTCTTCTTAAATTGGCAGTTCCTGCAGGTCCATGCTCCTGCTCTTCTCCTCTGGTAGTTTGTGGCACTTGAGTGGTTGGTTGTGGGGGTTTCTGGCTTTTGGTACCCAGGCCAGTGTGCACTAGCTGGTCTAAATGTCTCTTGCTTAGGGTTGGTAAGTGCAGAGTAATGAACTCAGCTCCCTGCTTCTCCCTTGAAGTTTGGCTGATTTTAACATTTCAGGTTGATTCTTCCCAATTCATGGCTTTTCTGTCACCGTAATTCACCCCCATACTCCCTCTTGTTGCTTCCACCCTGCAGACTCATGTCCCTTGCAATTCTTCTGTCCTTGCAGCCAAATTTTACCTACCAGTGGCAGACAGTGGGGACCACCTGCTGTCACAAGGACTGATACAGAGAAAGAACATGTGGGGAAGCATCCAGGATGGAGGAAGTTGTCCCCCTGTAATCAGCCTCAACAGCAAGTTTCTTTTCCCTGATGACTTTTTAAATCAGCAGATGTAACTGCTGGGGAAGGACAGCTCTCCACCTTGGGAGCCCTGGGTATACCCAGGAAGCTGTGCGATGCACATCAGCTTACCCCTGAGCCATGAGGAGCTAAATCGATCAGATATTACGCTTCCGAGCGTTTGTGGTAGGTGAGCACTAGGGTGCTATGCGCGCTTCGCACCACCCGTTCAGATCCTGCTCCTCGCCAGCACACCCAGATTTGTCCTGTGCAATCCACAACCTCTCGCAGTGCTCCCTTCCCTCCTCCTGGCTCCCCTGGTTTCATTTAGTGCCTGGAGGCCCTGGTGAGGCTTTGATGCTCCTTGCACCCTGCTTGCTGGAGGCGTGAGCAGCCACGCACCGGGGAACCGCAGTCCCGCCGAGGACTGCAGCGACGCAGAGCAGGTGGTGGGAGCAGAGAGGCTGACAGGTTCCTCCGTGGCTGGAGCTCGGCCATTTTGGCTGGTAGCTGCAAGGTAAACCAGCTTTGGATCACACCTGCTTTGCTTTTTAAAAACATGTGTTGCCTGGCTGATGTCTCTTGTCGCACTTGAGCGCGGCTCCCGAATGGGGGATGCTGTGGGTGGAGGGGGTTGAAGGGCTCTCACTTCTTCCTCTCTTCAGTTCTAGGCAAGGAGCTGTGTCCTTAGCACTGTGCAGTCCTATTTACATGTTAAATGCAGCATTCCTCATTTGTGAAACCTGTACTCTGGACTGTCCCCTTGATTCTTGCCAGAAGGCTGTCCCAGTCTCTCATGTGCCGTCCCTGTCAGTGTTCATGGACTGGGGC